GGCTTGTCTTAATTTGACATATTTAGAACGTGCTCTGTCCTATTCCCAAAGTATTTGTTGAAAGCAACCAGCAGCTAGTTGTTCACCATGACGTTATATTACCAGTTGGGGTGAATGATGGATGGATGGATGGATGGATGGATGGATGGATGGATGGATGGATGGATGGAGGACGGACGGACGGACGGGGTGAACGATGGATGGATGGATGGATGGATGGATGGATGGATGGATGGATGGATGGATGGATGGGGTGAACGATGGATGGATGGATGGATGGATAGATAGATAGATAGATAGATAGATAGATAGATAGATAGGAAGGAAGGATGTCCATTGGAGTCTTTGAAAAGCTCCTACCTGTTCCTAGAATTGTAACAGGCTACACACGTTCGGGGCTGTTGATACGCTCAGAGAGAACCTGTGAGGCCCTAATATATCACTGGTAGCTGCCTCTGAGATTCTGTGCAGGTAGGAAGTGGGGACTAAGGAAATTGCCAGCTGGAACAGAGAGAAAGTTCTCCAACATAGGTTGGGAGACTTAATAGTTCAAGGCATTTAAAGAGGGCTTGTTTGAAACATTAGCTAACTACTAAACTAATGAAACATGAGACTTCAGAGGCCAGATCCAACAGGATATACAGAGTTTTTCCAGGAAGAAGCAAAGAGGAGGCACAACAAATCCTAGGGAAGGAAAGAATTTTCATAGTGACAACATTATTTAAAACTTCTAATTTCCACTAAAAATTACAAGATGTGTAAGGATACAGAAATATATTCACAGGAAAAGTAAATTGTTCCCAAAGAAGGGGACACATCAGGAGCTGCCACGATGGCTCCATTAGCTATTCCTCTATCTACAAGCACCAGCATCTGTTAGGGGCGGTGGTTTATGTCCTGACTGGAGGCTTTTCTTTTTTGTGCTGTTTGGCATTTGAGCTCCAGGTTATGGCTTACCCAGACAAGCGTGCATCTCTGCCTTCCTGCCCCCTCTCTGGTGGCTGGCACTCACCTCCTAACCTCACATGCTTCCATGTTGTCCCAAGCTTCACTGTCACTAAAATGTGAAATTTCATCATTTCAATTAAATTGAAATGTCCCTTCCTTAATTACAAATTCTGTTGGGAAGGTTGGTATGTCAGTAGTTTCTCAATCATTAAGACATTTGGAATAAAGCATTTGTGGTCTGTGTAACCAGTGAGCTAGTTTACTAAGAAGAGATTTTTGGAACCTCGGGAAAAGCAGAGCTGAAGATCCACAGCAGGTTGGGCCAACTGATTACAGTCCCCAGAGCTGACAGGGGAGATGCCTCAGAGGAACATTGTGAGTAGGAGGAAAACTTAACAGGGATATGGGAGGAGACAACTGCAAATTTTACTTTCATTGCTTTTGCTCAGGTCTAACCCCACATGGGAAAACTGGCCAGGTTGATGAGCACTTGGTGTGATTCACACAGGTCTCTGGCTCTGCTTCACAGCTGCTGTGTTACAAATTTTCTGGGACACCTCTTTTACAAGTAGTGATGATAGGCGTTGTAATTATCTTCACTGTGGCAGCAGACGTGCTCAGACTGGCTGTGCTACGTTGATTCAGCAGCCTCTAGATCTGTAGATGGTTGTCCAAAGCCTCTCTAGTTAGCACCCCCCTACCCGCCCCCACCCCCCCACTTAATAGAATAAGACTGATCCTGATGTTTTGTTTTGTGTGTTCAGGTACACAGGCAAGATTCTAAGAGACATGTTGAATGCTGTATTCCTAGTTTGCTTTCCTTTTTGATGTGTGCAAATCTTTTATTTGGCTGGATTGGTTGCCTAGGAAACAGCTGCACAGTAAAGATGGCTTGGTTATTTGGAGAATGGAATTGGTCTTCAAGAGGCAAAATACCTGTTATATCAAACAAGGATTAGTGGGTGCTTGAGCTTGTACCTCATCAGTGTGCTGTAGGAACCTGGAGTGAACGTGTCGCATGGAAGAGCCTACTTAATGCTGGGTGGCTTTCATTTTAACTCGTTTATAATTCCTTTAACTTATCAAATGCTTATTAATTCCTGCCTTATACTCACTGCTGCAAGCCATTTTGTGATTTTCCATTAATGTGCAAGGTGCAGTTTCCTCCTGAAAAGATGATGTTTTATTTGGATAAAAAGAAGCTACCTGGAAACCAAGTTTGTGATTTTGTAATGCAGACTAAATGTGTGTAAGCATTAGGGAGAGATAAAGGATTTTGACAATGGGAGTGATGGATTTAAGTCTACAGGCAGCATATAACGCACTGGTGAGCGTTTAAGTGCTAACAGCACTGAATTTGCAAGGTTTACTATTAACAGCATGAGATCCTTCCCCACAGATTTTACCAGTTAGTTACTTGCTGGGAAATATGTGACTGTGATCTAAATTTTATTGGCTTAGAATCTTAAAAATGAAATTTAATAGCATTTTTGATTGAAACAATGTGTGTGTGCCGATTTTCTTATATACCTTATGGTTGTTGATTAGCATTAGCTTTCTTTTCTTCCAGAATAGAGCTGCTAAACGCTTGTTCTTGATGTATTGTGATAATTGTATAAACACAGGGTATAAGTGTTTCTCTCTCTCTTTGTGTGTGGTTAAAGAGTTAACATTCTCTCAAAGTTAGGATGGGAGAGACAGAGACAAGATCTTACATCTGTTCTGTTCGTGTACTCCCCAGATGGCCACACAGCTAGGGCTGGGACAGGTTAAAACCAGCAGCCAGGTGCTTTTTCTGGGTCTCCCATGTGGGTGGCAGAACCCAAACACTTGGGCCATCCTCAGTACTTTCCTAGGTGCCTTAGCATAGAACTGGATTTGCACTAAGCAGCCCAGAGACAAACCACCACGCACTTGGGGTGCTGATGTTACAGACAGTAACTCTACTCACTTGTGCCACAGTGCCAGGCCCTAGCACTTGTCTTAACGTTAAGCACTTGTCAGGTAATTTCCAGCTGGCTTGTAGAAGACATAGCTATAATTTTCGTTTTCTTCCTGTTTTGTTTATATTTCTGTAGTATAGTACGACAGCAGGAGAAGCTAAAAACAGCCCTACCCAGAAAGCTTACCAATTTCCAGGCAAGAAGGTTAAGTTAAACACCCTGGTTCCTCCATAGCCTACTCTATCCCGTCTTCTGGTTGCATACAGTAACTGAAACTTGAAAGGTTAGCAGTTCAGAAATGGGTACTGAGGTGTGTCTCTTTGGCCCATGAAGTCATTCAGTTCCAAGCAGCAGGGGAGACATAGTGGACGGCAGGTAGTGAAGGTCCACCACTTTGTCATCTATCTGCCCTCATCCTGTCCATGACAATCCCATAATGATAATGTTGTTTGCACCTGTGTATGGCATAGTTATTAGGTGATTTGGAGGAAAAGTGCTACTTTCACTCTTGCTATATTGAGACTTAGCCAGAAAGGAAAAGTCGATTATAACTCAATTTTGAGAAAAGAACTAATTTCTTCCTCTTATTTCCTTTCACCATGTTGCTTTATTTTTTTAAAAGTATTATTAGAAAATTATAGATTGTACAAAAGCCTCTTCCAGATGCCCCACCTACCCACAAATGATGTTTCTGGGCAGATCTAACCCTGGTCTGCTTCCGCCACAGCAGCTTCTCAGTGTGTGGTCCTAGGAACTCTGACTTTTCTTAGAAGGCACTTGTTCATCACAAGGGCTGTGGTTCTGTACTCAAAGCCTTTTTTTAAAATTATTGTTATTATTTTGAAATTGTATTCCTGTTGAGAAAATAATACAGATTGAAAAATGTAAAAATCTGTTGTTTCCAGTGGCTCTAGAAATTTCTGGAGTGTTTTTGCTAACTTGTTTCCCATCTGCACATTGCTCTTACAAGGGGAAACAGCAGTTTTATTCAGAAGTAACATTTTAATCATTCTTCTTAGTGGGAAAGCGGATAAAGTATGTTCTGCAAACTAATTCATCTCAACTTTGGTAGAGAAGCTCCTGTATTTTGACATGAAAAAATACATGGAGGAAGAACATGACTTACATAGTACATTTTTTTATACTTCAAAAAAGCATTTGTTTTGAAAGTTGGTGTTACAGAAAGGGAGAGACAGAGAAAGCTCTCCATTCCCTGGTTTACTCCCCAGACGGCTGCAATGGCCAAGGCTGGTCCAGGCTAAAGCCAGGAACTTCTTTTGTGTCTGCCATGTGAGTTGGCAGTGGTCCAAACACTTGGGCCATTTTCTACTTCTTTTCCCAGGCCACTAACAGAAAGCTGAATCAGAAGTAGAGCAGCCGTGAAATGACACCCCAATGGGATGCTAGCATCGCAGGCTGCAGCTTTACCTGCTATAGGATATCATGAGCCCATCTTCTCTTTTGTGAAAATGTCTTTTTATCCTCAGTTACAATAAAATAATGAGGGCCCCCATTTGGACACTGGCTCATGTTCTGGATGCTTCATTCCCAAACCAGCTCCTTGCTAATGTTCCCTGGGAAAGCGGTGTAGAAGATGGCCCAAGCTCTTGAGCCTCTGCACCCACATGGGAGACTGGAAGAAGCTCCTTGCTCCTGACTTCAGTCTGGCCCAGCTCTGACTGATCTCTCTGTCTCTCCCCCACTCTCTGTAACTCTGCCTTTCAAATGAAATAAAATAAAATAAATCTTTAAAAAGTAAAGTCATACACAGTGAACCTGGGATCTGAGAATAGAAAAATCCCAAATTCATGTAAGCAGGAAGGAGCTTCATCTATCTTGTTTACTTGCTGTTGTTTCCCTGGAACCTGCCACATACTCTGAGAAATAAAACTGCCTTTTGTGATTTTTGCCAAGTCTTTGATTTTCTTAAATTATGTTCACTTTGTACATTAAGCCAAGGGTGGCTGCATTATAAACTTCAACAGATAAAAGGGAATTCAGTGGTTGAGTGAGACAAATAAAGCCTAAAGACTAAAGGGAAAGTGGTAGGGAAAATTCCCTCTATATGCCAGTGCCATTAAAGTATTCCAACTGTTTGCATCTCCTCAGGAGCACTCACTGTGGGCCTTGTGCGACAGTGTCAAACAATCCACGGACGAGATCGGACATGCATCCCTCCTCGGCTTCCCCCAGAGTGGATCACCACACTGTTTTTTATCATCATGGGAATCATTTCATTGACTGTCACATGCGGTTTGCTGGTGGCTTCCCACTGGCGAAGAGAAGCTACAAAATATGCTCGATGGATAGCATTCACTGGAAGTAAGTAACCCATGCTTACTAAGTTTGTGTAGAAGGCATCTCACTGGTATTTTTGTGAAGATAATCAAGAATCAATCAGAAGGACTCCATAAGCATCAAAGAGCAGCACTGGCGTACGGCTGAGAGGCAGACCGTCAGTTCTTCAGAAATGCTCACCAGACCAGCACATCTGCAACGTTAATTGCTTTGTATGAAATGCTGTTTTAATGAATTTTACTTTTGTTCACTTGTGACATAAGCCAGGTTTGTGATTCAAGTTACCAACAGCCTCATTCTTTTCCTCTTCCTGAAGGTATTGGTTTTGTCTATCAAAAATAAAAAGTCTAGAAAAATACATAAAAATACATAAATCAGATTCACTTTTTGATATCAGCTTTGAGTTTCTGCTGTGTAATGCTGTGTTATCTTGTGATCATTAAGAAATCAATATATATTAGACTATTTAATATTTATCATCATTTCTTACTCCATTAAGCTATGCTTAAGGATATGGTAGATTTTTTTGTATTTACGTATTCTCTTACACTTTGCAAAACTGATTTCATTTCAAAACACATTGAGGCTTATCACAAGTTAAAGGAAACAAAAATGCACAAAGAAAAGCTGTTTCAGTTACTTTGCTTTCCTGTTTCCTTCTCTCTAAAAGCCCAACAGACATTTGGCAATATCTGCAAGAATATTTTTGATAGTTCAAACTGCAGAGAAAGCTTCTGGCATCCAGAGTGCTGCCAATGCACAGGACAGCCTCCCAGGACAAAGACGTGTCTGGCCCGTACTGGCAATCGTACGCTGATGAGAGAAACCCTGCCCTAAAGATATGGGATGGCAGTGCCTAGGCAAAGTGCTGTGGGATTTAGCATTGAACTTAATGCCCTGAGATCACTTCAGGTTTGCTTACGCTTGAAAAGTAAATGTTGTGACACAGTTTACTTTCACTTGGTAATTTCATTTAGAAGCAATATGATTGTGATAATAGTCGCAAACATCCTTATTAATATTAAATATTTTTTTCCCCCAAAAAAGGCTGTAGGATAGTGATTTCTCTTCATGAGTCTGTGTTCTGAGGTTCCTATCTCTCTCTGAAACAATGGGTATAATTTTGGCTTTTTTGTTAATTTTATAACTATGTTGCCTTTAATTTTTTTTTTAAAGATTTATTTATTTTTCTTGGAAAGTCAGGTATACAGAGAGGAGGAGAGACACAGAGGAAGATCTGTCCACTGATTCACTCCCCAAGAGGCCGCAACAGCCAGAGCTGAGCCAGTCCAAAACCAGGAGCCAAGAGCCAGCTTCTTTCAGGTCTCCCACACAGGTGCAGGGTCCCAAGTCTCTGAGCCATCCTTGACTGCTTTCCCGGGCCGCAAGGAGGGAGCATTCTGAATGGGAAGTGGGGCCACAAAAGTGACACCCATATGGGATCCCCAGGCGTGCAAGGCGAGGACTTTAGCCACTAGGTTACCATGCTGGGCCCGCTAATTTTTAAACTTAGATTGTGTGCCTTTCACATCAAAAAGCTTCTCTTACCTGTGATAAGTAAGATGAACAGGTTAAGGATCCTTCTCGCATCACAGGCCTTCAGGTAGTTCTTTTTTAGAGAGTAGGGTTAGGAAGCAGTTGTAAAGACAAGATTGCTAAATTAAACGGTGTTGGTTAAGAGTTTAAAGATAATTTGTTTTCTTTGAAAAGCTTTTTGTTGATTTTTAAAGATGTACTCACTTATTTAGTAAAGAAAGTGACAGAGAGGAGCAAGACATCTATGGCTCTCTTGCCAAATGGCTGCACTGGCCATGGGCTGAAGCCAGGAACCTGAGACTTCACCCAGGTTTCCAGTGTGGGTGGCAGGCACCCAAGTAGTTGGGCCATGATCCCCTGCTTTCCCAAGGACATGAACAGGGAACTGGCTTGGACTGGGTCAGCTGAGGAATGGAACCAACACTCCGATATAAGATTACTATGAGTGTTACAAGTGCCAGTTTAACCTGCTCTGCCACAGCACTGGCCCCGATTCTTTATTTTTAATTCACAAATACTGTCCTTTTCAAGATAGCACTCATTCTTTAAGGAATAAGCAACTTTTAAAAAGGATTTGGTGTTTGGATTTAGTGGAAATTTAGGAAGACATACTTTGAATACCAAAGATCTAAATCATGATTTAGTGGAGTAGTATGAGTCAAAGAACACATTAAGGAGCTGTTGGTTCTTCTGACCCAAAAAGGGGAAAGAATTAGGATTATCTTTGGTTTTTACTTCCCTTTGATAGACAGATTAACAATGTGGTTGCCCCAAATAGAGTGTATTTTTCCTTTATTTTAAGGTAAATAACTTTTGAAGTAGTATGTGGATATGATATGTGAGTCAAAGCTTGTGAAAGTTTAGTCATGTGAAAAGAAGTCTCATTTGTGGCCTCGTTACCCTGCCATCCGACTGCTGTTAACTAATTTCTGGAATTTCCTACTAGAAGGTTTACTACACATGAGAACATAGGGATGTGTGTGTGTTTTATCAATATACATTATAAAATTTTATACTCTTCTTGATCTTTGTTAACTTAATATATCAGGGAATGAATTTCATGTCAGTTAAAACAGCTTCCTTCTGGTCTGGTTTTCTGCCCAGAGCTGGTTAATTGGGGTGGCTGTTCTGAAAGGGATTGGGCTCCCCCTAGTGTTTCATTCAGCCCTTGAAAAGGGGAGCGTTTTCTGATGGCTTTGCACCGTGAGGAAGCATTTCACAGAAGAGAGCCCTAGGTGATGGGACATGCCTGCAGGGGGTAAAACGAGCAAAAATGAGTTCCCCTTCTTCAGTTCTGACTTTAGTTCTGTCCTTTTCCAACCTGATTTAGAAGCCTCTCCATTAGTTCATCTGATTTCTTCTGTCACCCAAAATCTGCCATGAAGGGTATGAAGTTCAAGTCTTTTATAAGATTACTTAGGACCCAGAACTTAACCTTCGAAGGATGATACTGTCAGCATTAATAGCATTGTAATATCTACAGAGCTTCATAGTCAGTCCTCAATAGCTTAAAGGAAAACTCATCTACCTGCACTGAATCTCCGTAGAACAATAACCTAACTCCTTAGATTTAAAGCCTAGGGATAGATTGAATAGGGGCTTATTGCCTTCTTCAAATTTCAGTAAGCTTTTCCTTCCAATCTGGGAAATATTTAAGTTTTGAAAATCTTAAAATCTAGCCACAGTCAGTAGTTCTCCACTATAAAGAATGACTTTAACGGTCGAAGTAAGAAGGAAGGCATGATGTTGGCACATCAGTTAGCAAAATGAACAAATTTAAAGTTCCTTGAGATTATTCAGAATTAAGAAAACTTTTTAAAACAGTAATCTCACCTATTGTGTTTTATTAGATTGTATGTAACTATGTAGATTGTGGCTTCATTTGGTCACCAAGCCAAGTTAGGTCATAAGAACCTTTAGAAATTGGTGGCAGATAACTGACAAGTGAGGGTTGGCAGCACTAATGGTTATTTGCTGTTAATGATGAAAAGGCTAAAACTCATAAACTTTAATGCCTCAAGTTTTCCGTTTGTTCAGTAGTAGTGGCTGAAAGAATCCAGGTCAAGTTGGTGTGTTACTCTGCAAATGTTATTTTTTCCTATGTTGCTGGAGCCCTTCCATCCAGGAAAGAATTCTAGAGGCCCGTTAAGGACTCCATAATAAATCCTGTCAATTAGCACCTGCAAAACATAGAAGTGTCAGCTGATATCCAGTGCTCACTCAACAGGCCTGGGGATAGTTTTTTATTAGAATAAAATATCTCATGCAAAAATCTCTCTTTTAGCAATGGAAAGCTTCAACTTTTCATAGAGAGTGACAGTGATCTGTATTCACATTCTGTATATTTTTAAAAACTGTATGAAAACTTGACCAGTATGCTCTCAAAAAAGTAAAAATATTTTCTGACAAAAGCTAGCGTGACTGCAGGTAGTTGGTGTTCATTAAAAGGAACATTTGATAGCACAGGAGAGCACATTGTTTGCTGTAATCCTGGCCTGTGCATGTAACTGTACCCAGACACTGAGTTTTCTAATGCCTTTCTAGAAACGTTTTAGCAAACAACGTATTTCATTGTGTTGAAATATAAAACTCGGAAGTTTCCCACTCTCCTCCTTGTCCTAGCACCCATCCCCGCTTAAGCTTTCTGCGTAATCAGAAGCCTGGTGTTTTTTTTTTTGTTTGTTTGTTTTTTTAAGGAACATAACCCATTATAAAAGATAACCACTCTGACAATTTGCTAATCATTCCAGAAATTGGAGATTCTTTTTTCCAGCTGACTCTAATTCAGATAGATGGTACTTGCTAGTTTACACTTACCTAAGAGGAGCAGAGAACGGGCAGAGTGATTATGACGATGACAATAACAGCAACATGCAACATTTATTCAGCATGTCTGTCAACCTGGCACGATGCCAGGGCTTTGGGTTTTTTTTCCCCCATCTTCCTAGTATTTTTCCCATTTTCAGAAGGAAGACAAGGACATAAGATTGCACAGCTAGTAAAGCCAGAACTTAAATCCCTTGTAGAGCATAAAAGTTAGTATCCTCAAGTACTGTTCTTTGTGTGGGCAAGAATAATGTGTGAGTATATAGTAGGTTTGGATAAGACCTTTTTTAATGCTAATATTTGAAATCATCCTAAGCTCATATTAAATGCTAGCCCAGCTTTTACTGTATTTACTTGTTAGGCTTCAAGGATTATCATGTGAGTGGTAATAGATGCAACTCTTTTGATAAGTAGTCAATGTTTAGCAAGTTTGACCATGTTGTTAACCCATAGATAGCCCTTCTTGTTATGCCATAAACTTCCCTTGTACCAAATTTTCATTGTTTTTCTAAATCACCAAACCATGTTACTAATGTTGTGTTTTGGTTTGTTTTACAGTGATCCTTTTCTGTATGGCTGCCCTAATATTTCCAATAGGATTTTACATCAATGAAGTCGGAGGTCAACCTTATAAATTACCCAACAACACAGTAGTTGGGTCTTCATATGTACTTTTTGTCTTATCAATTTTCTTTACAATAGTAGGACTTTTATTTGCTGGCAAAGTTTGTTTACCAGGCTGATGAATGTCTAAATTGCTTGACTCTTACTGTTATTTTATTCTATTTTATTTTATTTTTACTTTTTGGAGGGTGGGGAGGACAAAGGCAAGGCATCTGAGCAATCCTTTCATAGGAAGGTGCTTAGATGAAACCGATGCTAAAAAGGAAAGTATGCGTTGATTTGTTCTCACTATGCACTTTGGATTTAGAAAAAGAAAATGAGAGCCTTTTACATAACCAAATACAACGTTGACTAAATCTCCTGAGCATATTCAGGCAGTCAGGTCTGCACTGTGATGGCAACGTAGTGAAGGAGATGCTTTATTCTGAAAAGCACGTGGCCCTTTGTGACTCTGTCGTTCCGTTTTTAATGTCTAATGATTCATTTGAGGAAAAAAAAAAGTCTAAGTATTTATGAATTATGGTGGACCAGAGGGATGCAAGAGAAGTTCATGTGGGGCTGGCCTCACCTCCTAAGAAATTAGTGTTCACAACTTCCTTGTAATGGTTCCAGCCTTTGGCACCAGAGTGGATTGCCATTGGAAACTGCACCATGAAGCCAATAGATCAAAACTTGTTTGCTAAAATGTATGTAAAAATTCTGAAATTCCCTATTCTCTGTGTACAAAAAAAAAAAAGGGAGAGAGAATTCAAACACTAAGACACATGTTTGGGGTGGGTGGGTGGGGAAAATCTTCCTTATATTTATATAAATATATATAATATATATATTTTGCTGATGCATTATACAGTGTGTATATTTGTGTGTGTGTGTGTGTATGTGTGTATAAATTTATATATGCACACATGCAAACAGTTCCTGGAAGAGAACTCTGAATGCTCTGCTAGCAAAACACTGTGGTGTGCAAATCTAGAACTCAGTAGAAAAAAAGCCATTTATCTGAAGGCTGCATAGTGGAGAAAGTCTTCAGTTTACCTCATTCTTTGTAGCAGCCCTTGATTTTAACAGGTTTTTGTAATAGGTACAAAAATCCCATGCCTTTCTAGGTGCAATTTTAAGTTAAGCTAAAAATTCTTTGTAGGGTTAATTTATTTGTGTATGATAGTAGAAGGTAAGATCTTGTCAAACCTTATGATTTGGGGAATCTGACACTATTTAAATTATTGGAAACTGTTTATTGTACAGAGATTCTTTTTTCTACTGGCTCGGTCTGTTACATTAATGATGCGTTTTTATATGTTCAAGCACACAACTTTACATAAGTACAAAGCTCACTAGTAAAATCAGCCTGTTTTGACATTTGCAACACTAATTTCACTCCAGCGTGAAAAAGTTAAATTTATGTTCTTTTCTGTAAGCACTACCTGAGCAATACAGTATTTCCTTTATATGCTCTACATATGACTTTGCTAAAAACTAACATTTTAAAATTTGCTTTAAAGGGCTGTATTCAACCCACAGCTTTTAAGTTTGTTCCCAAAAGAAGCATTACAGCTAATCCTTAGACTCACAGATAGTTGAAAATACAGTGTTTCTCTTCTCCACATTTCTATGCCTTTGCATCAAGGCTTAGGTTTGTTTTTGTTTGTTTTGTTTGTTTTGTTTTGTTTTACTGGTGAATCTTAATAGAGAATCTTCTGTTGGGAATGTGGGGCAGAAGATTGTCTGTTAGCTAAGCTTTTCTTCTTCATAGTGAAATGGCAACCCAAATGTCCCTTCCAGTTTAATGAGAGTTCTGTGTAGCCAATCTTCTCACAGCTAGAAATGAACACATTGTTTCTAAAAAAACTACACTGTCATGTGTATGAGGGTCACTTTGGAGACGGCCCTCCTCCTCAGATAATCAAAGTACAAAATGGAGGAGTTTGATGTGTTTCACACTGGCTTTTTCGATGCTTGTATATCTTAGGGTTAATTCTGCAGTATTTCAAGAGAGAAAATCTCAATGTTTTTTGGCTCATTCAAGAGCTGGGGGAGAGATGAATCCACCCTGTGGTGCATTCCTTGATTGTTTTTGGGAGAATGCCATCTTTTCCCTTCCCATTTGTAAAAGAAGCCTTAGAGAAATCCTAAAGGAGATTGTTTTCCCCAAGTGTTATGATACCTAGTCAGTTCCAAGGAAACCACTGGATATATTCTACCGACATTTGGGTTTTCGTCTTCCAGTTTGATTGGATTAGTCTTCAGTCAAATGGTTCACTTTGAAGGAAAACTTTGGTTGTCACTATTATACCACTGAGGTAAAGTGTTAGCAAAGAATGGTCTAAAGTAATTCGTGATATGACCAAGAGCTTTTCTCTTCCAAAAGATGAATTTTATTGTAAATAGTTTCTCAAAGTATTTTTAACTGGATCATAAGCATGGGGAGAGAAAGTTTCTCAGCTGCTAAGAATTTCCCCACTGTTTACGTCTTTCACTTACAGTGGTATTGCATATAAGATTACGGAATTTAAGATTTTATTTGTATCTCATTACCCAAACCATTAAAATGTCTTTATTTTCGTCGCTGTCCTGAGGTCCGGTGCCTGAGAGGCTGAGGGGAAATTCCCCCACGGCCAGCTAGCACTCTAACCCAGAATTAGAACCATCCCATCAAGTAGTATGTGAAGTCAAGTCTTTGTACTCTTCCAGACCAAACAATGAAATGGACTCATTCATATAAATTTCTATAAATCCTGTAAGTGAAAAGCTAGACAACTGCTAGCAGTTGCTTTTAAACAGGTCACTATAATAAGTACCGCATAGTACAGTATTAATTTATAGCAGGAATTCATATCTTGTAAACTGTATATAAAAACACTGTTTTATGGTGCAATCATTTGTCAAAACTTTTGTCTGTTACATTGTTTCTAGAGTGTGTGCATTACTCTCATACCTAAGAATATCACTGTAAAATCTGCTGAAAACTTTTTAGGTTTTATTTGCACAAGACTGAATTAGTTTGAATTCTTGAAAGCTCCTATTGAACATGTCTAAACATCTGTAAACATGAAAAAGTCTTCAGTTCATTAAAAGCAAATGTTTCAGTATGATTCTTTCCAAAGGTGATCCATGTTCTATGTTGTTACTGTGAGTATGTAATTCTTCTGACTCTTCCACCTCTTACAAATCTAGTTTCTGTTTCATTTGTTTTATTTTTGAAGGAAGGCTCTTTTTTCTTTTTAATGTTCTAGATGACCAAAACGCTTTATTGGTTTTTACATGTTTGCCTAAAGCTTTGATATCCCCACTTGATGTTCTATGAATTTACTAACCTCTTAAATAATAAATGGTCCTGGTGACAGTCTGTTGACTTAGAGGAGAGGCCATGAAAAAGTATTGGAAACTAACTTAGCATCTACTCTAAGCTATTATTTCTGCATCGTGGGCTTCATGGGAAGACCATGTTGCATTTATTTTGTCTTTATTAAAAGACTACTAGCCACAAGTGACTATCGGTTTGGTAATTATTTTATCAGCCCACTTTGATTTTGAAAAATTAAAAATTACATTTCCAATTCAAAATAGTAAGTTGTCTTTCAGAAAATTTTTGAAGGATAAAAATAACATGAAAGAAAAAAGTGGCCTGTGTAGGTAGCATTTCTTACACGGGACTTTTAGTTGTATCACCTCAAGAGATTTTAAAGTTTGTGATCAAGGTCTGTGTATTTTCCCAAACTTTATTAAGAATTGTTTTCTAATTGGTTATAACATTTTTCAATTAATAGTTTCAAAGCAAATTGTTAATACAACTGTACAAAATGAACATAATTTTCTTCACTTGTATTTTTGTTATTGAGCAAGTTTATCAAAAATAAATTGTCTACTAAAGAAACTAAAAAGGCTTTTATTACTTTAAGCTTTTATCAGAAATTTCTTACGGATGTTTCACACATTCACACACTGACACTTTGAATGTCTCTTGGATTGGTTTTGTTGTTGGCATTGCATTGGGGCGGTAAGGGGTGGGGTGATTCTCGCCATCCCATCTTCCAGTCCCCCTCCTGCTTCCAGCTCACCTCTATGAAAGAGATGCCATTAATGTTCTAGGATGTGGATTAGGCCATGTTTACCATTAAGAGTTGCTAAGCAGTGAAAGACCACCCACATACAAGGGGCTCTTTGTTCTACATCTTTTTTTTTTTTTTTTTTTTTTTTTTTTTTTTTATGGCTTCAGGAAACCACTCTGGAGCTGTTCAGGCCAGACATTTTTTTCTTGTTTCTTCTTGGCACATAGACCTAAGTCCATCTTTGCTTCCAGGTCAAAAGGTTGCAGCTTCTTTTTTTGTTTGTTTTTTGTTTATTAGTTATTTTTAGGATATAGCTTCTAAGAGCTTAAAATATGGATTAGAGGAGCATTATAGAGGCTCTTGCATTTTATATTTATCTGTGTGCCCTATCACAGCTTTGCCATAGTTCTCTGGAGGTATTGGGATTGGCTAAATGATAAAATATTTCCCTTTTAATCTCTTTATTGGTTTATTCAGGAGCCTGACAGGGAGTTGAAGGATGAAGAAATTTTAAGATTTAAATATTGGGTGCTGGGAAGTAAGGCGTCTTCAGAATGTGCTTTCTGATCCTATTTCACCTGAAACTGGGATCTCCCAAGACATAGGACTTTGAGTGCTGTAACTTGGAAAGTTCTGGGAAAACTGGAATGAATTTGACCACACCATCCAAATCTTGTCTTGATTTATTACACAGACTAGAGGTATCTAAAGGATTCTTGTCTTGTAAAGCTTGATGAGTAGGTCAGTTGTAAACTGCAATGGTAGACATCTGTTTGTTTGAATGCTATTTCTCTGAGTGACACCTTCAGAAAAGGTAACCAATGACTTTAAAAACAGTAATACAGGTTCAAAAATATCTTAATGGCTTTCCATCTACTTTGTTCTAGCCACTATATGAAACAGTTACAGGAAACTGAAAAACACCAAGACTATATAGGAGTATGAGTTTCTTTTATGCCAAGTCAACTCTTCTGGTTCACAGTTACCAGCAATAAAGGTAGTTATTTATAATGATATTAAAGATAGAGGCATAATATTACATGGGGTTTTTTTAAGCGTTTTAATGCTTTTCTCGGGAGAATAAAACACCGTTAGGTGATATTTTCAATTACGTTTATTTTTCTAGATCAGCCCCAATTGCAGTCATAGACTGAGACCACCTCAGATGAAATTTCAAGGAAAGATGACGTTCCCACAAAGTCTCCTCCCTGTCTTTGGACACAGACGAATTGGGGGTAAAAAAAATGTGGACTTGAGGAAGTTCTGGAGCCAGCTTGCTCCCTGCGTCCTCAAGACCAATCCTCCCACATTGAAGGGAAAGAAAAAGAAGAAATTTCAAGAAAATGTTTTTTTATGACACTCAAAAACTTTTAGAAGTGAATAAATTTTGAAAATCTATGTACGTTTCCATTTTCCAAATGAAGAAGTCAAGGCTTCTGAAAGGTTATAGTGACTTTGCCAAAGTCACATAGTGAGGTCTCAGCTGAGTTCTCAGCATAGGAAAGAATATCTTTGACAAAAAGGCCTTGGACCTAGGAGAGATAGTCAAGTTCTGTGAAAATACTCAGTGTAAAAAAAAAAAACTGAATAAACAGATTTTTCCTTTTTAAAATAATACATCTATAAGTTAAATATATATATATATAGGAAATTAAGTTCCCTCTCAAATAACTTAAGAGATAGTCATTAATTTATTGGTATTTGTTTAATATGTCAGTTTCATTGACCTCCTTAGGATTTCCCTGTGGACTCAAGAACGCTTATACCACTGAATTCCTAGCGCTTTAACATTGTTACTTACACAAGGAGGACCAGGATGATGCAAGCACTGTGTTGACCCCGAGAGAACTCTCCGGAGGCTTCATGAAACTTGTGGGTTCTCTGCTGTCTTGAAGCTATACATTTGGTATGTTTGCAAAGACTTGGTTCTGCCAAGATGGTTTTAGTTATTTCTGCTGAAAGGAATGGACTCAAGCATTTGAACTCATTTAAACATATGGTTATCCCCTAGTTGGCCATTTTATGGCACTTGAGTAAATATTGCCAATCTATTTGGCTACTATTAAAGTGATTTCTGATTTATCTGTCAGGGCAATGATGACCCGCCCCTCCCCCCCCCCAAAAAAAGCTGTCTATTTTAAACTGAGAATAACAGATACAAACTTGATCTTACAGCAATGCTAGCTGTCCTTATAGTGCTTTACACTCCGTGACTAATGCAAACACAGGTAAGGAACCAAAGATAATCCTTTCTGTGGTCCATGATAAATTGCTATAGGGTGAAAAGCAAAATTCACAGATGCAAGAAATCTTAACTGCCTTTGTCTTGTGAGCTACAAAATGTAATCTCATCCTTACATGTGCCACTATGTTACCCCATTTTAGCTTTCAGAGTCATAAGTGACTTTTGTCCTAAGTCTGTTGAAGAGAAGAAAACAATCATGATTATAAACTAGATAAAAAGATTTCCTTTTTAAAGTAACACATCTATAAGTTTAAAAAAGAAGCCAGAACAAAAATATGGGAAATTAAGTTCTCTCTCACATAACCTCAGAGATAATCATTAGCAGTTTATTGGCTGTTCTAACAGACATTTCACTGTTTTTCAGTTTAATAAAAACAAGATCATGATTATATGCATACACACACACTGTCTTGTAACAGTTTTTGACAGCAATTTTTCTGCTAGTGAATACAGTGCTTCCTCACTTTAAAAGATACATATGTGCTTTTATCTGTACATACATGCATGTATACATATACACATACACAAGGGCAATTTAAAAAACATGGAAATGGAATTAACCAAAAAGCTTATTTCTGATACAAAAAATGTAAAGTCCGTGAATACCAATAATACTCTGTTTTGTGAACTTTTTGAAGACCTCTTATATGAATGGATTTCAAAAAGTTTTGTGCCAAAACAATTTCATTTTCTGTATTTATTTAAAAACGCAGAGTTATAGAGATTTTCCATCTGTTAGTTCATTGCCCAAGTGGCTGCAATGGCCACAGATGGGCCATGCTGAAGCCAGGAGTTTGTTTTGAATCTCCCACATGGGGTGACAAGGGTCCAAGGACTTAGACCATCCTCCACTGCTTTCCCAGGCACATTGGCAGGGAGCTGGATCAGAAGTAGAGCAGCTAGGACTTGGTGCCCCTGTAGGATGCCAATGCTACAGGCAGTGGCTTAACCTCTGGCATCACAACATCAGCCCCCTTAGTTTCACTTCCACATTTGGAAGTATCTGTGTGTGTGTGGGTGTACATTTTCCTGTTTTAACATACATTTAGATTGTCTCCAGATTTTTGCTATTATGAACTTTAAAAAAGCTTCACAAGTATCATGACAACTGACATTCTTACTTAAGCATATAAACTGCTCTATTAAGGCAATTCGTGTTTTCAAAAGTATTGTGATTAACTGAATAGTGGCATTCAATATCTTTAGAGGAACTCACATGAAATCTGTTGTTACACGATTTTCCATTTGTTTTAATGCATCCTCCTCCTGTGAATTGAAAGATGTTTATAGACTATAAAGCTAAGGATCAAAAGGGTCAACAACTTACTCAAAAGAGCTATCTAGCTAATAACTGGTGGATTCTAGATTTTAAACTTAGGTTCCCTGACTGAAGATCTAGGACTCCTGCTGTCCCACATTGTCCGTTTGGCTAGTCAAAAGGAAATAAAAATAGCTTGTCCCAGTTGCGAGATTCTTTGGCTCAAACATGGGCAGCTAAATCTATGGCTGACTCCTTTTGGATGTGGAATGCAAATAGCCATAAAAGGTAGTCCTTACTTAGAAACTACTTGTGAATAATACCTACTTTGTTGAAAGAAAATAAGAAAAACCTATTTGCATTCATGTTTGGCCTTCCATTATTCACCTTTTACTGTCAGAGCTTCTGTGTTGATTTTACTGAGGCTTCTTGTATGATTTGAGATTGCAGGGAGTTCCCTAAAGAAACTACTCTGCTCTCCCCTCCCTTGGCACTTTAAAGTCAACCAGATCCCTCCTGCCATGTTGGTAAGAATTGGTTATTAGGGTACCAATAGACTGTACAGTGGTCCATAGCTCAAAAGTAAGGAAGGACCCTTCAGTTGTCACCTCTCTGCACATGACTCTTGAGACATTAGTTGTCCCAGGGGGTGCAGAAGTATCCCTGTGCCTTTCCTTCCTTGGAGCATGATAGACTTTGCTGGGCTGGGGACACCTATGGCTGTGGACCTTTGTCTGAGGTCTTGCCATCTCACCATGGTTTTGCTATCAAGCACTGAGCAGGCTTCTACTCCCTTGGGTTTTTAGCTCTCTAATTTCATGATCTCTTGTTGGGCAAATGCCCCCTTCACTTTTCCTTTGGAGGCGTGTTTGCCTACCACTCACACCCCCTTTCGTGGATTAAAAAAAAATTTTTTTTCCTTTTGGAAAACTGTTCTTTTTCTGCCTGCCAGCCATATGGTTTGATGGGATTCATTTTACCCACTAACTCCAGAACTAGACATAAGCCACTTGGCCAAATGGAATCATTGTGATTGATTAAAGAATGAGACTGGCATGACCAAGCCAAACCTAGAATTTGGTGGACTTTGTGGGAAATGGGTGTTCTTTCTTGAAGTTCTAATTGATAGTTGGGTGGGGGTTGGGAGAGTTTGGTGCTGTTGATGTCCAAGTCTGTCAGATGAAGAGCCTACCTAAGAATCAAGCCATCAACAGAAGAAAAGAAGCTGAGAAATGGAGACAGTTTTATTAATAACATTTTAGCCATTGTGTCAAACCATGTGTGGGACCAGAGCTATTCCTGGATTTTTCTGTTATTTGATCAAATAAATTTCTGTTTTTCCTATTTGAGTTGGATTTCTGTCTGTTATTAACTGAAAGACTTGATACGCTTGCACTTTCCTCTCGGCATCAAACACCTCTTCTGCCTTGTCATGTCACTTTAATCTTTTACTTAGCATAGGGCCTTTACAAAAGACAAAAACTGTTAACTTGAGATTGCTTCCTCTCAACAAAAAGCACCTGCTCCTACTTTGAAATGAAGGAAAGAAAGCAGCACAAATTGATAGCTAAAAAGTATGTCCCATTGTCCTCCTGTGTGCTCTGATACCTTTGGGGTCAGTCATGGCCTGTATTCAGAGGTGAGCTAAAAAAGATCATATGTTACATGGGGACGTGAGAGGGGAGGGTTAGAATACCTGTTGGAGCCCCAATGTCTTGAGTGTCTTAGGATGAGTACTGGGTGTAGCACTTCAGATATTGCTTAGGTTTGCTTCAGTCCTTCATGGGAGAGCCCGTGTTTGAGTGCCCAGCTTGCTTCCAAGCCCAGCTTCAAGCTGATGCACACACGGACAATGGCTCAAGTACTTGGGTCCCTGCCACCCATGTGGAGACCTGGACTGAGTTTCAGACTTTCTGGCGTAGACCTAGACCAACCCAAGCTATTGCAGGTGTTAGGAGAATCAGTGAATGAAAGAGTTCTCTTCCTTTCTGTCTTTGAAATAATTTTTTTTAAGATTTATTTATTTTTATTGGAAAGTCAGATTTACAGAGAAGAGGCGAGACAGAGAGGAGAACTTCCATCTGATGATTCACTCCCCAAGTGGCCGCAACTGCCAGAGCTGAGCCAATCTGAAGCCAGGAACCAGGAGCTTCTTCCAAGTCTCCCACACGGGTGCAGGGTCCCAAGGCTTTGGGCTGTCCTCAACTGCTTTCCCAGGCCACAAGCAGGGAGCTGGATGGGAAGCGGGGCTGCTGGGGTTAAAACCAGCACCCATATGGGATTCTGGGCATGCAAGGCGAGGACCCTAACCACTATGCTGTCCCACCGGGCCCTGAAATAGTTTTTTAAATATTTTGTTTATTTATTGGAAAGTCAGATATACAGAGAAGAGGAGAGACAGAGAGGAAGATCTGTCTGTTGATTCACTCCCCAAATGGTCGCAACAGCCAGAGTTGAGCTGACCCGAAACCAAGAGCCCAGAGCCTCTTCCAGGTCTCCCATGTGGATACAGGGTTACAAGGGCCATGATTGACTGCTTTCCCAGGCCACAGGCATGGAGCCTGAT